TGTCGCCCCCCCCCCCCCCCCCGGCGTGGATGTGCTCAGGCCTCGGCGCAGGGCTGCGGGGAGATCTCCAATCAGCACGGATCCCTGCCACCCTGCTCCCCGCCCCCTGTGCCAGCCCCGCACGCGAGCGGATTCGGGCAGGGAGGCAGACGTTCATCTCACCGCCGGCCTAGGCCAGCTTCTGCGGCACAGGGCAGGAGAAAGGGGCTTTCTGCCCCAACTCGCTTCCATCCACTCATAGCTGCCTCTGCTTGGCTGCAGCCTGGCCCCGTTTCCCTCTGCCACTCGGGAGCCCCCAAAACTCCCCTCCCCAGAGAGAGTGGGAGGAAGAGTCCAGCAGGAGGTGCTGGCAGGAGAAAGTTGTGTCTCTCCCAGGTGGCATCTGCTGCCCGCTGCCTCCCCCGGCGGAAGAGAGCCAGACCCTGGTCCTGTGACTAGCTCCACATGGCTCTGGGGGTGCGGCAGCCAGGGGGAGGGGCTGCTCTGGGCATGCACCAGTGACCCTGCTGTGCAGGGCGTGACCATGGGGCGGGCGAATGGCCAGAGCAGCCCAGATGGGTGTGGTGGCCCCGTAGGACCTGCAAACTCAGGATCCTCCGACCTGGTTCTTGGTTGCTGAGCTAATGGGTTTGTGCAAGAGCAACAGGAAGTGGGTTGTGCCCACAAAAGCTCGTGATACTAGATACGTTTCTGTGCATCTCTGTGGTACCACAGGCCCACGGGGCCGCCACTCACTGGTTTCAAAGGTACAGACTGACGACGCGGCTCCCCTCTGAGACGGAAGGACTTGGGCTTGTTTACTCTGGAAAAGAGAAGACTGAGAGGGGACATGACGCAGCTTTCAAGTACCTAGAAGGGTGTGACAAGGAGGAGGGAGAAAAATATTCTTCTTAATGTCTGAGGACAGGCCAAGAAGCAAAGGGCTTAAATTGCAGCAGGGGAGGTTTAGGTTGGACATCAGGAAACACTTCCTACCTGTCAGGGTGGTTACACACTGGAATAAATTGCTCAGGGAGATTCCCCTGAATCCCCATCTCTGGAGATATTTCAGAGCAGGTTAGACAGACACCTGTCAGGGATGATCTAGATGGTTCAGGGGACTGGACATGATGACATCTCGAGGTCCCTTCCAGTTCTAGTATAATACATTTCAACAGAGACCGCTCTGTCATGATGAGCAGGCCTGTCCCATGGCTCCGCTCCTCCTCTGTCTGTCTCCACTCATTAGACTGTCCGTGCTGTGGGGCGGGGACTGTTTGTTCTGTGTTTGTACAGCTCCTAGCGCAGCAGGGTCCTGGCTGGTTACTGAGCTCCTGGGAGCAGCCACAATCCAAATAATAATAAAAGGCCTCCTTCCTGTGGAGGAGCTACAGGGTAGTATTTGGGACTAGGCCGCTCGGCGCGTCTGTCGGGCATGCTTCATGCGGGGGCTCCATTCTCCGTGGTGTGCGAAGGGCCAATAAGTGCTGAGCAGCTGGTTTACACACGTCACACACGGGGCGGGAGCTGGTTAGCAGTGGAGGTGGCATAGAGGGGTATAACTGGGTATAGCTTGCCCTGCATAATAATTGAGTGACCATTCTTGCCCAAGGGAACCGTCGCACACCCCGTCACCGTTTCCTGCAGGCCGAGGAGCCGTGTTTCTCCCCGCGCTGAGGCAGCTGTATCAGGGAAGAGTCTGGTTCAACAGGGCCTATAGCAGACAGGTATCAGGGAACTTAAAACGGGGGAATGGTTCTGTCCCCAGCCCTGGCCGCTCTCCTTGCCAGAGGCAGGCAGGGGCTAAGATTCGAGGCAGCGCTGGATCCCAGATCAGTTTCCTGCAGGCCGAGGAGCCGTGTTTCTCCCCGCGCTGAGGCAGCTGTATCAGGGAAGAGTCTGGTTCAACAGGGCCTATAGCAGACAGGTATCAGGGAACTTAAAACGGGGGAATGGTTCTGTCCCCAGCCCTGGCCGCTCTCCTTGCCAGAGGCAGGCAGGGGCTAAGATTCGAGGCAGCGCTGGATCCCAGATCAGCAGCCCCAAGCAGCCCAAGGATGGTCTGTTATGCACCAATCCCGTGAGCACAGACATGACTTGCAGGGACCATGGCCCCCTGTTCCCAGCTGGCTGGCTCCTTTAAGGGAAGATGGGCCCAGCCCCACCTGTGACTCCGCTCACCTGTCCGGGTGGGGCAGAGGAAGCGGATGAGCCTGGGCGAAGGCTGGCTGGGGGAGACCAGGATCCGGTGGCGGTGAGTCCAAGGGGGAAGCGCAGCCCGCGCCCCGGAGGGAGGGCTGGGAAAGTCCCTTACTCAGGGAAAGGTTGGGCCCCACAGGCTGCTGGAAACCACGTGAAGATGAAATAAACCAGCCCCCGTCCCAAGAGGTGGCATCTCATTTTCAGTTCCTTGGAGTGTGGGGAGAAGGGGAAATTGTGCTGGGTTGCTGCCTCGAGAGTGCCTCCTCCTGGCCTGGAGTGGGACTGCAGCATCCTGCCTCAGTTTCCCCTTCTCAGGTCTCCACCAGCTCCCAGGACTCAGAACGGGGGAAGGATGCATCCTGAGCCAGTGCCTCAGGCCTTGGTCAAAGTGATCCTGGCTGGTCAGGCGTAGGGGGGTCAGGTTAATCCCCACACAGGGGAACAGCCCTGACACCCAAACATGGCCTGGGGGAAGCCCGGAGGCTGTGGGGGCCGTGGGAGGAGCACCCCGAGTCCAGGCTGAAAACAGGGGGGCCCTGGTGTGTGCTGGGAGGGGCGGTGAAGGGGGGGACCTGTGTGACTGGAGATGGTGGCTTGTCAGAGGCCGAAAACCCTCTTAGCCTGGAATCCAAAACAGGTTGGAAGAGCTCTGGGGGTGTCCGGAGGTATCTGAGCCAGAGTGAGCCGGCCGGTTGGCCAGTCCCTTTTCCTCCCCAGGGCTGGGACCCACCGGCTGAGTCTGGGGCCCTGGAAGGACGGGGCCGGATGGAGCCTGGGGAAAGCAGATCTCAGCTCCTTCCCAGCCCTTTGCTGCTGCTGTTTTCATGGTAACGGGGTCGGAAGCAAGGAGCCAATGACGATGAATCGGGCCGGTGACTGGTGTGGCTGGCGGGGGCGGCGTGAGTGCCTGCATTCTCCATTCTTGGGTGCCACGTGACCTCGTATGGCCCGTCTGAGCCGCCCTGCATCGCTGCCTGTCCTCGAAGGCTCCTTAGTGCCACTTTAGGGTCCAGCTGGGGGTACCGGGGCTCTGTGAAGCAGCAGCGTGTCAGGACTGAGGGTCGTCAGGGGAGCTGTGGCGGGCAGCGAGGGCCAGAGAGCAGGGGCTGCCGGTCGGGAGTGAGGGGTGCTGGCAGAGGAGGGGTATCTCTGCAGAGCTGCTCTCGTGGGGCCATGCAAATCGGGGGCCAGGAATCAATTGGCGGTCTTCAGGATCACGCAGCCTTGCCCCCGGCTTGCTGTCAGGTGGCATGATGGGCTGGACTGGGCCCAGAGGACCCTTGCTGGAGATCTCAGGCCCTGCCACACTCTGTCCCAAAGAGGAGCAGTAGAGAAGTCCTCCAAGAGACCTAGAGTGGTTGCAGGGAAGCAACCAATGAGAGATGCTTCAATGAGCAGCCAATCATGGCCCAGGGGGCCATATAAAAAGGAGCTGAGGCATCAGAACCAGTTAGGCAGCTCCTTGCTAGAGTTAAGGGAGGGATAGTTTGGTGGTTTGAGCATTGGCCTGCTAAACCCAGGGTTGTGAGTTCAATCCTTGTGGAGGCCATTTAGGGAGATGGGGCAAAAGTTTGTCAGGGGTGGTGCTTGGTCCTGCTATGAAGGCAGGGGACTGGACTTGATGACCTTCAAGCTCTAGGAGAGAGGCAATCTCCATTAATTTAATGGAGAGCAGATGGTTCTCCTGTCTGGCCAAAGGGCACTGCAGCCCAGCAGATAGAGCCTATGTGGATATAAATGGGTATCTGCAGATATCCACATCCGGATAGAGCCTACGTGGGGGTAAATGGGTATCTGCAGATATCCACATCCACCAGTATAGTATACATTTGTCTCCACACAGGGCTCTACTATGCACGGCTCAGCCCTAGCAGGCACCTGGGGCATGAGGAGGAGCTCTGGGCTGGCTGCTGGGTCTGTGTTAGAGTCCCAGGCCTTGGTGAGGGCCGGGGTTATGGGGAATATGCCCAGAGAGCTGACAACAGTGTTGCTGAGGGGATAGGATAGGGTGGCTTGTGGTTACTGTTACTGTTCTTAGGCTCCCTGGGTGTCCAATGCTAGCACGTGCTGGTAAACCATGAACCATGACAATGCTACATATTCATCCCCGAACCCACCTTGGTGAGGGCCGGGGTTATGGGGAAGCAGCCCAGAGAGCTGACAACAGTGTTGCTGAGGGGATAGGATAGGGTGGCTTGTGGTTACTGTTACTGTTCTTAGGCTCCCTGGGTGTCCAATGCTAGCACGTGCTGGTAAACCATGAACCATGACAATGCTACATATTCATCCCCGAACCCACCAGGGAGTTTTTGTTAGTCAAGTCCTTTGCTAATTGTCCTTTCCTTTCCTGCAAGCCCATTCCAGCTGTGTCTACACTGCACACTTATTGTGACGTAACGCCTGCTATTTCGAAATAACAGTGTGCGCATCTACACAGCAAACCCGTTCTTTTGAAATCATTTAAAAAAAACAGGCTTCTTACCCCCGCTCCTGCAACCCTCATTTCACGGGGCGTAAGGGAAGTCGGAGGAAGATGCCCTTCCTTTGACTTCCTGCCGTGTAGACAGCGCCCAAAGCCGAGTGGAGCTGTTTCGACTTCAGCCATGTCACTGACGTTGCTGAAGTTGCGTAGCTTAATTTGACGTTAGCCTGACGCTGCTGAAGTTGCGTAGCTTAATTTGACGTTAGCCCTGCTGTGCAGACCTGCCCTCGGTGAGCTTACTAACTGGGGCGGGGCGTTGGCACTGCTCTCTCCTTGAGAAGGGCTGAAATGAGACACCCGTGAATAGTGGCCCATTACCTATGATTAGTTCTTAGGGACTCCTTTGTTGTTCGAATGGCAATTCACCACATGCTGTTCCATTGTTACTCAAGGTGTTGGGCAGCCCCGGTGGTTAAAAATAAAGTGTTTTTCCTGTTGAATCCAGATACTCCAGATGTGCGCTAAACCTTGGGCCAAGGGCAGACAAGAATGTCCCATGAGTTCAGTGGTACTTTCCCCAGCTGTTTCCTGTGTTTAGCACAAATTTCAGGGTTGGACCCCAGGTCACATTCTTACACTTTTCAATTCCCAGATGAGCACCGGGAATATACTTGGCACTAGTGACCTTACGCTGGGCCACATCCCAGCCCGGGGATCCCTGTGCCATCCTCAGCAGCAATTTCATCTCTGAGGTCCCCATCAGCTTGTAAGCTTGGAGGTAGCCAGGGAGCCCACCTTGTGGAATTATACTCTAGCTTTTGTAAGGCTGGATCCGTCTGTATCTTGTGTCGGAGCTTGTCAGATTTCTTTTTTCCAAACTGGGTCATGCGTGAGTCATATTTACTTCAAATTCCTCTTCCTGCCTTTCACTATTTTGGGGATTCTTGAAAGCATGTCAGCTGTAAGACGCACGCTGAATGAGTCCTTTGGCAGCATCGTCTTCTGAAGACTAGGCGATGCTTTGCACAAGAGCGTCTGTGATATAGCTTCCAACAGTTTCTGACTCAACTGATTTCTGCTCAGAGACATATTCATGAAAGGGCTCACAACCAAAAAACACTGCTTTTCTTTTTCAGTCCGTGGTGTGTTAGTCAATGCTTCAGAGATCGGTGTGTCTGGACGCTCCTCTTACAGAAAGACTGCCCCCGATTTAAGCAATGGGCTTAAATTGCAGCAAGGGAAGTTTAGGTTGGACATTAGGAAAAACTTTCTAACTGTCAGGGTGGTGAAACACTGGAATCAATTGCCCAGGGAGGTTGTGGAATCTCCATCTCTGGAGATATTTAAAAGCAGGTTGGATAAACATCTGTCAGGGATTATCTAGAATGCTGGTGTTTGGTCCTGCCATGAGGGCAGGGGACAGGACTTGATAACCTCTCAGGATCCCTTCTGGTTCGAGTGTTCTAGGATTCTACGAACCCCTGTGCTTGTGCATCGACTGAGAACTTAGGTTCTTTGTGAATCACAAAACATTTCAAATTAAGAGCCATTGCTTTAGTTGGCCGCAGAACTTTCATGTGTTGTCAATAAACTGGGCTCAAATCAGCAGATCATTAACAAGTACTTCTACCCTGGCCAGAACCTGAAAGGTTTTACCTAGGGAGATGATTCTCCATCACGCGGTGGCTGTCTAACGGACAGGCTGTAGCTCAAACAGAAATGCGGGGCTTGGTGTATGCGACAGTGTGACCTGAGAATTGTCACATGGAAGGCGCAGGGAGGACCCCCACGCAGCAGACTCCAATTAGCCAGTCTTCTCAGAGACTGCTGGGAGTCGGAGGAGTCTGGGGGCTGCATACGCCAGACCCAGCTCACTCCAGATAGACGGGGAGGAGGAGATGCAGCAGCTAAGATTGGGAGGCTGAAGGTTGTGCCACAAGAAAGCTGCTCTAGAAAGGGGCAGGAGGAGAAGCGGAGGGAAAGGAACCGAGTGGAGGAAGAGGTGGGCAGAGGCCGTGGCTGGCCCTTTCCTGAGAGAAGAGCATGTCTGGGTAAATGGGGCTAACAGCTTTGGGTGGAGGTGATGATAATCACATTGATTTGGATCCACAGCTGACCCATGATCCACAAACTTGGCACGTGGATATCTGCAGATTCGCCAGGCTCCATCTTCGTTCTCCTGCGTCCCCACCCCCATGTCTCTCTGTGGGTCTCAGCTCATCATGCTGCCCTGCCAGGCAGTGGGGATGCTGGGAGCAGTAGGACACGGGCGTAGCTGGAAGGCCGGGTCGCGTTAGCGCTTG